CAGAGAGCCTGGACAGGAGGAATTTAGGAGGATGGGAATTGCTGTCAATGTGCTCTGGACACTTGCCCTTTGTTTTCTATTGCAGCATTGGCCTGAAATAAAAAAGTGCAGCAAATCTGGGGCAGGCACGAGGAAAGCAGTTACTATTCAGTCTCTCTCTGCTCAACAAATAAACCCAGAGTGAACAAAAGACAAAAAAATTACTTATTTATATATGGTTTGAGGTGACAGTGCATGGAGCTGCACCAGGTGGCACCAGGATGCACGGCATCCCATGGGGAGAGCATATGAGTTTCACGAGGGGGAATGGAGAGCCTCTCTGCCCTGCCCAGTGAAACACAACCTGACAGCCTTGATCCCTTCAGTGTGGTGCTCCTGCAGCTGGGCTGTGCACACAAGCACAAAGTGCGCTTGAGGGGGGAAGCAGAGCAGTGCAGGTTAGGAGGCAAAGTATCCCCCTGCTCCACCGCCCATGGGACAGCATTTCCCTGTGCCTTGCTGGGGTTTCCTGTAGGTAAGGTAGCCTCTGTCCCCCACTCTTTCCTGGGGCTGCTTTAGAAGGTGATGCTCTCAGGTACCTGCAGTGTTTGTCTGGGGTTAGGGCTCTAACTGCTCCCCTAACTGCTCCCCTGGCACCCGTGAGCAGCTGTGCCCCGGGTCTTCAGTGGAGCCTGGGCTCTGGAAGTTCCAGGGTGGGAGTGGTAATTAAACTTTAGGAAACAGAAGCAGATGTTGGGCTGGGAGAGCAGCCTGTCCCAAGGCACCCTGCTCTTGATGTGTGGTTTGCAAAGTCTTGCCCTGCAGAGAGCCTTGCAGGGCCATCCTTGTGCTGCATCGCCCTGGGGGGTGTATTTCTTCTCCAAAACTCTCCCACGCACTTTCAGGCCCTGCAAAGTCACCAGTGCCAGGCCCACGTGGAGAATCTGGCTGCAGGACTGTAGGGTGCTTTTGGCTCAGTGCCTGGCACCCTCCTCCAGTCTTGCACGGGGCTGCAGCATCAGATATTTTCATCTGCCAAAAGGAGACTTTCAGAGGACAAGCAGGACATGTGAGAGCTGCCAGTACCCCAGGAAAGCTAGAGCTCGAGCCCCACTTGGCACCCTTGGCTTGTGGAGCAGGCCAGCACACAGGTCAGGGCAGCATCAAGGGGCTTGGGCTGCTGTGGGCTGGATGTGAGCTCCCAGGAGGATAAAATATCTTGTTATTCAGCCTGAGGCAGTGAGGAGGTAATGCAGGTACCATGAGGCTGTTGGGACACAAGAGCTGGGTCCAGGCTCTTCTCACAGATGGTGTCAGGCTTGCAGCAGTACAAGCCCATTGCTGCCTCTTTGTCCAAATGTTGGACAGGGGGACAGAACCCAGCTGGATTTGTCTGGGCTTGATGTGTCACAACAGCCTGCATGGCTTGCTTTGCTCCACTTACTTGTGAGCTCTTGTTTTGCAGTTCTGCAATGGTTGGGACGTGAATGGGTACAGTGCAGCCCACTGCCACTGCCCAGGGATCATCTGTCACTGTGCAGGACTGAGACAATTTGCTGACCTTTGAGAGCAGTCCAACAGGAAGGCTCAGACAGGCTTGAGTTTTGAATCTCCAAAGGTTGCCAGCGCTCAGTGTCCACTGCAAGCTACGGGGTGGACCTGGCTCCTTCAGGAGTTGTCACTTGGCTTGGAAGGATGTGCAGCTTCAGCACTACCCAGTGAGTCAGTGACAGGTAGGAGAGCACCATTTGGGCCCCCAAAGCACCACTGGCCTCCCCCCACTAAGGGCTCCCTTGTACTCATGGGCTGTTTTCAAATGGCAGCGAGGGATCCTGCCCCCTTGGATTTTCCACTGGAGGGCTGGGAATTTGCATCCCTTCTGCATTATTATTTTTCTGCTTTTGCTTCAGCAGGTGGGATTCTATAGCTTGCCAGGAGGATTTCGTTTTTCACAAAGGAGCTCCTTTGCCAACACACCTTCTCAGTGGAAAGCTGAAAAATTGCTTGGTTCCAGCCTATTTAGTTTTAATTGTTTCCTTTAGTTCTCATTGCCCATGGCAAAATATCACCTTCCCCTAACAACCAGCCAGGCTGGGAGCCAGTCACCCTGCCCAGCCACCGTGCCATCCCTCCTGCTGGTCCCTCGGCTTCCAGAGGTCTTTTCTCTTCTGGCAGGGGTGGATTTCAGGGAGGAATCACCCTCAGAAAACCCCGGGTAGGGAACAGTTGCACTGCTGCCACTCCTGTGCTCTCTCCACGTCTCTGAGGTCTTTTCTGGCTGCTCTGACTCTCCCCCCTGCTCAGAGATAATTTCCATGCTGCCTTTCCCAACTAGCTTGCCTCTCTCCTGGTTCCCATCCTTCCTCCAGCAGCTGCTGTGGAGGGGCCAGCTTGGGACTCTTCCTTCCAAGAAGGCTTTGAAAAGAAAGTGTTGTGTTGCTGAGTAAGAACACGATGCACAGAGCCCCTGGGGACGCTGAACAGCAGAAGATGACAAAAGCCTCTTCTCCCTCCCCTCACCACAGAGCTCATGGGCTTTGAGCACCTGTGAGCTCAGGTGCCTTTATGGGAACAATGCCATGCACAGCATCCCAGGTGAGCATCACCTCCAGGACCTCTGCTCTCACTTCTGCTTCTAAGGCAGCCCTTCCCCAGGGACACCCCTCTCCACAAAGACAACAACCCCATGTCAGCAATGGAAAGCAGGGTCTTGCAACCCCAGGGAAAATCTTGAGGGGACTCCTAAGCCTTCCTGGAGGTTACGGCACAAGGAGGATAAAGCACTATTCCCTTTCCACACAGGCTCCACTCAGGGGGCACTGTCAGACATCCCCCCAAGCAACCTTAGCAATAGATCAGGCTCAAGGAATAATATATTGGAATATATTATTATAATATATATTATTCAAATATAATTGGAATATATAATAATAATATATAGTAATATATTATTCCACTATAAGGCATGGATGCAGAGCTAGCTATCAGGGTGAGACAGAACAAAAATACACACAGAGACCTGTCACAGTAACCCCCCACATAACTGATTTTATCCCCAGGATAAAACACCACTGTATCAGGGTGGAGCCTAACGTTGGGCACTGCCTGAGCTGGCACATCCCAGACAAGGGCTGCACAGCACCATGCCAGAGATTTTTCCTGAGGGTTTTCCTCTGCTCAGTTCTGGGGACGAGCTATAAAACAAAAGCTCATAAATTAATGACCTAAAGAGCAGCAGAATGCTATTAGATACTAGGGAGTTAATTGCACCAATGCTAATCGCATGTATTTTAATGGAATCAGTAGAGATGTAATATGTAGTTCCACAGGTATTCCAGAATAATTTAGCAATTTAATTAATTTCTGCTAATACCTTTTAAATCACCTACCCTCTTCCTCTCATGTTCTCTGAGGAAAACAGGGAAGAAACTTTTCCAGTTGGCTAAATCTATTGCAATCTCACTATTATTGGCAAAGATATAATTTTATTTCTCAGTGGATTTCTTACCACTAGAGTCATCCCTGGGTGACAGGGAGGCCAAGCAGGACTGTGATAGTCTGGTCCTAAATTTGGAAGTCTTGATAAGGGCTGGTTGAAGTGTTTTGGACAGATCATGATGCGCTGAAAAGATGGAAACAAAAATGACTTGTGGATTTAGGTCAAATTCAATGAGCAGAGCCAAGTGAAAATATGGAAGAGAAATGTAAACAGCACCAGGCATTTTATTCCATCTCCTCAATATGAAATGTTTGGTTTAGAAAAAGCAAAAATATCCCACTTCAGCATGTTTGAGATGCAAGTTTTCTGCTTGTCTCTTTGTGCCTCCCCCCAGGCTCAGGCAGCTGCGAGGCACCCAGCCCCAGGGCAGCATTTCAGCTGGAAAAATTATTTATTTCCTCTTTGCACTCACCACTCAATGACTTCAGGGCACAGCACCTTGTGACAGCACTTGGTGGTCCGGGGGAGATGGATAGAGGAGGAGACAAGTGATTTGGGTTGCATGGGAGCTGCCCCCATCCCTCCCCACACTGGCAGGAAAGAGACCACCAGAAGCCATTGCTCTCATGGGGCTTTTATTATCTGTCTGGCCCTCACCTCCCACCCTGCTGCTCGTGGCCGGTTGAGCCCATCAGCACCACCCATGCCAGCAGAGGAGACCCCAGCTCGGCCATCCCCAATCCCAGCCACCTGCTCAGGGCACCACATCCTTCTAGGCTCTTTTTTTTGGGATTTTTTTTTTTTCCAAATATTTATTTTAAAAATATAGTAGCTGTGGAAAGCAGCCCTCTTTAAAAACGCTCAATGCCGGAGTGAAATGCATCATTGCCATCCTTATTACTAAGCCCTCCTGGGTGCCCATTCCTGCCAGCAGCAGTGCTGGGGGTCTGGAGCATCTGCACCGGCTGCTGCAGGCAGGGAGGCTCACGATGGCAGGGAGACAGAGAGGGACCCTTCTGAAAATAGAAATATTGTGCTGAGTTGTTTGGAGTCAATGAAATACATAAATCACCAGCATTAGATTAGCTTCAGCTTGTCAAA